GTAGACGAGAGAGTGAAAGACAGAAACATTTATGTGAGAGAAACACATCAATAGGTTGCCTCCTGCATGGGCCCTGACCAGGGCCTGGGCCAGGGAGGAGCCTGCAACCTTGACTGGAATCGAACCCAGGACCCTTTGGTCGGCAGGCTAACGCTCTATCCACTAAGGCAAACTGGCTAGGGCAATTGTAGGTCTTTCTGACTTTTCTCTTCAACTCCAGATTCTGACATTTTAGAAGCAAATTTAACCCCAAGTATGTTGGGGGGTTTTGTTTGTTTGTTTTGTTCTTTTAACATTCCTTTATACCTAGTACTTAGAAAGGAAAATATCTTACTGAAAAAAAAAAAATCCAATAACTTGGAGTACTTTCTTTAGGTGGAAGAGAGCTGTAGGATCAAGTCTTCTGAAATATTCCCCAGGTAAATGCCACCCTACCCAAACACCTGCTACTCATCTTTCATTGAGGTTGCCTAACTTTCTACCACTCCTGCTCCCGTGGACAAAAACAACAGCAAAGAGCGTCCTGAGCAAGCCCAGGCTCTGCTTTTGTTACTTCTCCGCATATTCTCCCTACAATGCCCTCGTTTCGTGACTCACACGTGGGCTCATGTACACACGTGTTGTTTTTATTGCTCTATTTATTTTAACTTTCTCCTCCATTCAGGCCAGAACAAAGCCCTCCCCCTGAGTAATGTGGATCAGAAGTCCAGGTCTTCTCCCTCTCATTCTGGGAAAGAAGAGGAAATTTTACCTCCTCCTCCACTGTACACAAATCTAGTGAGAGGAAAATGCCATTGCTTGTTGCTAAAAGAGCAGTGACATTCAGCAATGAAAGACAGACTCTTACTCCCCAATCAGGTATGAAGTTATTCTTAGTGGACTTCAAGTCCTTGCTATTTCCCACTGTCCTAGTGTCCCCACCCAGTCACAGGGTTCCCTTTGGGATTCAGTCTCTCCCTCTGGCTCCCCAAACTCATAATCCTCCTCCCTCTCCTTCCCCCGAATCTGGCAAAACTCTGCTTTGGGTCTTTTATCCATGTGAAGATGAACATTACTAACAAGAATCTTAGCTTTGTCATTTCCCAGTAATATTTGCAATAAACAAGCCTCCAGATTATCCTTCAGCTTGGAGGAGAATCTGAACTCTGTGGTTTCAGGAAAGTCATGAGTAAGGAAAGAGTAGCATCTGGGGAAACAGAGAGGGTGGGGCTGAGGTTTTCCAGATATCCTACACACCCGATTCCACGGTCCTTGCTCAACTTTGAGTCTTTGAAAGACTGTGGCTCTCTTACATCGGTCTTTCTCCCTCTCTCTTCTCTTTTTGTATCCATGTTTTTTTCTCTTCCCTCTTCCCTCCCTTCCACTCTCTCTAAAACTAATGGGGAAAAAATATCCTCGAGTGAGTATTAACAAACAAAACAAAACAAAAACATGCAATACCTGACTATATTTAGTCAGGGGCACTGACCTCCTTCCCCTTAGATTGTCAAATGAAAAACTGACAACAGCCAGTACAACAATCGCTGTCCAGTGTGAATGAATCAAAATTATACCTTTTATTTTCCAGATTTGCAAAAAAATTTTTTTGGTGTGCCACCGAATTTTAGTAACTAGTTTATGTGTGCCATGAGATGGAAAAAGGTTGAAAATCGCTGACTTACAAATGTAGAACCTAAATATAGTGCATATTCTAACAATAGGTTATAGCAGAAGGTTTACCAATAATAACCAACTCTCTCTCTTCTCACCTTTTCATAATAAAAAATGAAGACACAATCTTTAAAATTGCTTTTCATCCACAAGAGGGAAAAGGATCAAAGGGGGAAATCACTGCTTTTTATGGACTGGCTCTCGATTTCATGAGAGTAAAGTGAGATGTGACAATATAAAGCACCTTTCGTATGTCCGAGCTGGCTACTGAAAAGGCTGGAAAACAATACAGGGGACTGTAGGAACTGGCAAGAAAAAAAAAGTTTTAATCTCAATTCTTTAAATTGCTAGCAGTATGTGACCAAGGTCTCACAAGGCGTCCACCTTCGGTGCAATGAATGTTTCTATGGCTCAGGTGTCTGGGCATGACTTAGCTCAGTGCCTCTGTCTCAGGGTCTCTCAACAGGCCTGCAGGCAAGGTGTCCATCAGGGACATGTAAGCAAGAAATTTAATTTTAGAGGGGAAAGCAATGGCCAGGCAATTAACTTGTGCATTTTTAAAAGCTAAACTGTATAGAGAAAAAGTAAATAATATTTGTAAATGAATAAGTTATCTCATTTATGAAATTGAAAAGATCATTAGGACTATTTTAAATGGATTTTCAGTACAGGGTTGATTGTAAGTAACGCCCATAAGAGAACAGAGGCATCGATTTTTCTGAGATGATTGTTATTCAGAATCATTTCAACTTGGCTTTAGAGTGCAGGGAAGGCAGCATGTCCATAGGAGCCTAAAGCCTCATCCTCTTTTAACAGCATTCCCCTGTTAAAAACCTCACTCACAGGATAAAGAGCAAGTACTCGGCCTATCCACTAGGCCCTATAGTGTCTGGCCTCACTCTAACCATTCCCTCCTCTTCATTTTCTCATACTCCCGGACTCCCTCACTAGATCTCTGTGCTCCCTTACCTGCCCCCCTGGACCACCTACCAAGCTCCTTCCCACCTCTAACCTTTGCATAAGCACTAGTTGAGCCCTCTGTCTTGGCCACTCTCCACACCTGACTACCCATTGTTCTGTTAGACACAATCATCCCTTGGATCTTATCTCAAACATCTCTTCCTCAGAGATATGTTCACACTGGATCAGGTTTCCCATAGCCTCTTATGCTCAGCTTTTTTCAATAATGTAATTGATAATTATATATATGTATATATTATTTAATTGCTACCTGTCTCCCCAACTGGACCAAGTTCCCTAAGCAGAGGGGTCTCTCCCTGTCTGAGCACATTCTCCCACCTTCAAAATTAGCCTGGAACTTGACCCCTGAAGAATGTACCCTCATGTACTGATCAGCTACCTGGCACCACCCCAGACCCTATCTAGATAATGAAGAGGGAGCAAGTATGGGTCGCCATGAATAAGATTTTTAAAAAATTAGGTTGAGTTTGACATATACAGTTGTCTAGTAAGATAGCCTAAGAGCTCAAACAGTGATAACCTAAAATTTTCTGTGGAAAATCCCAGTTGCTTATATAATTTCGCTCACTGAAATGATGACTCCTTCTGTCGCTCATTTCCTTCCAGACCTAACAGCATGGGTCATTGCTCTTTCTCTGCAACCAGAGCTAGGAGTTTTTTTTTAAAAAAAATCATTAGCAGTCACTTCTCACCAAGGTCCACCTACCACGACAAGGTCTTTACATTCTACTTAGTTCCCACTCTGGATTTGAGGGAAGATGGGAGGCTGACTTTTCTTTTCATAGGAAAGTAAAACAACTCCAGTTGTTTTATCTGCTCATTTGGATTATCCTGACCATTATTACAGAGAATTATGACCTGGTAACACAAAGACTTGCCATCTTAAGTGGAAATTATCCTTATCAGAAAGTGTTACTTATCAAAGCCAAGCTACTGAAAGTCGACAGCAGTGAACCATATGCTATTTAAGCTGGGACTCTGAGTGACCCATATTTTTTTAAGTTGGTGATTTGACACATTCCTTCACTCATTCACTCAGCAAGTATTGGCTGATGACCATCTCTGTGTCAGGCACTAGGATCATGAGGGTCTCCCCAAAGTCTGAGACATTGGAGCAAAAAACATCTTGCCTGACTCAAAGGAGAATCAGAGAAAAAAAAGAGACAGCTTCAGGTCAGAAGATAGAAATGATCTTCAAAGGAAGTTAACTGTGATTTGAATAGTAAATGTTATCAAAATGGACTTAGATGAGGTGGCACCATTAATCTCAGGAGTAAGCGAAACAACACAATGTTCAGCTTGTTGCCCATAGACACAACATCAACGAAAGTCAGCAAAACCTTCCCGGGATTATTTTCTTTCTAGAAGATTTACATGTGATTATAGCTGTCCTATATTGGGGAGTAGGGGGAAGAAACAAAACCACAAATGACTACTCAAGGGTACACGTTGTGCTTCCCATTTGTCTCAGAGGTCCCCAAGACCACCCACATGCTCAGGGACTCACTAGAATGACTAACAGGACTCAACATACATTGTAACCACAACTATAGTTCATAGCAATGAAAGGATATGCAACGGGATCAGCAGGGGAAGAGAGACACTGGTGACATCTGAAGAAATCCATTTACAGGCTGCCTATGCTCTCTCCCTCCCTTGAGTAGACATGGCGTATGCTCCCTTCTCGACCAGCAAAAAGTGATGCATGTGCAATGTTTCTGCCCAGGGCAGTCCATTAGAGACTCCACACCAAGGTTCTTATTGAAACTGGTTATGTGGCCATCCTCTGCCTGGCAAGGAACAAAATTTCAGCCTCCCAGAATAAAGCAGGTGTTCACCATTAATTACAGTGTTTGCATAATCTAGGCATTGTGAATCATCTTTATCCTTCAGAGAATAGAGAGAACATTCCACAACCCAGGATCCCAGGCGCCAGCCAAAAGCCAAACTTGCACGAGGCCCTTCTAGAGACAGCAGCCTCAGAGTCGCTGTATTAACTCTTCTGCACGCAATTCTTTCCATCTTCTTTCAGAACATGTTGTAGAGAAGAGAAAATGCATGTTTCTCTCTCTCTGTGTACATGGCTAAAGAAAGTGTGGTCAGCTTCAATTTTTAGACTGTTATCGCTAGAGTTATTACTAGGAATTATCATTTTTGGATGAATGTTACATTAATAACATTGTTGCTGTCTAGTGTTAATGATTATAGTGGCAATATTATTAATTTCTATGATACATTGTGTATAATATCTCAATATAACATTCATATTAACCCTTTCCATGATCATGTTAAAATCATGACAACCTCAGCAGATTCTGTTTGTGGTTCCTTATCATACTTTTCTTCTAATCTGTTGCCTTCTTTAACAGGACGGGCCTTCTGTAGCTTGAAGTAGCCAACCATGGATTTCAAGCGTGTGAAGGACTATTTCTCCTGGCTCTACTATCAATACCAAATCATCAGCTGCTGTGCTGTCCTGGAGCCCTGGGAGCAATCCATGTTCAATACCATCTTGCTGACCATTTTTGCTATGGTGGTGTATACTGCCTATGTTTTTATCCCAATCCACATCCGCCTGGCTTGGGAATTTTTCTCCAAAATCTGTGGCATTCACAGTACACTTTCGAGTTGATCTTGGTTGCATTCTGTGAATTGGCAGTGAACATGTATATGTTGCTTACAACTCCTTGTTTTAGGTGATTACTGTGTCTTTTTTCACTTTCTGATTTAAAAAGCTCTCACTTCTCTATGCACTCTTAGGTCCTGCCTGAAATTTGAGATAGATGCCTCTTTAGGTTCTTTTGTACATGTTACATTGTGCATTAGACCAAGATAATACAATGACCTTACCTCACGTACCATATTTTCTCAACTTAAATCTATGACTTTAGTTGTTTTTTTAAATCAGGAAATTTCATATAAAATTTTTCTGGAAAGTAGGCTTATGAGACCTATCAGAATCATGTTTAAAATATCTGCTCCCTTGATACCTATTCTATACTAAAGGATATATTTTTAAAAATGTGTTCATAGGCTACTGTCAAAAGTATCAGATCCTTGTTTACAATATAAAGATGTGAATAAATTATATGGGCCCCCTAAAGTATTGTTTTTTTTACTCAACTACTGATACCTAAAATCCTTTTACTTCAAGTGCAAAAGAATAGGCTGAAGGCAATTATCTGCTTTCAGACATGGTTCCTGAATTGTTTCGAATGTCTCTAAAAGTCTGGCTTTATAACAATTTAAAACCAACAATGTTGATTTTAGATAACCCAGTAATTATTATAATACAAAATAATTTTTACGTATAAGAAACTAAATATAATCAGAGTAAATTCAGACATTGTGACTGTGATGTTGTCTTGCCTTGCATGATGCTGGAGCGGGAGGAAGAGGGAGGGAGAGAAAAGAAATTGTTTTTTTTCTGTGCTTTCACTCAGTGGAGGGAGAGCATGTATTACGCTACAGGAAGGAAAGCTAATAAATAGGCTGGGAGTAATATTCTACCAGCAGGAACTTGACAGCTCCAGTTAAATACTCCTTTGCAGAGCAAAATCAAGATTTATTAAATTTCCTTCAAAGTGTTCATTTTAAAAACAATTGCTGCCCTAGTTGGTTTGGTTCAGTGAATGGAGCATCAGCCTGGGGACTGAAGGGTCCCAAGTTCGATTCTGGTCAAGGGCACATGCCTGGGTTGTGAGCTGGGTCCCCAGTGTGGGGTGTGCAGGAGGCAGTCAATCAATGATTCTCTCTCATCATTAATGTTATTAGTCCAGCCGGAGTGGTTCCATGGTTGAGCGTTGACCTATGAACCAGGAGCTCACGGTTCAATTCCGGGTCAGGGCACATGCCTGGGTTGCAGGCTCAATCCCCAGTGTGGGGGGTGCAGGAGGCAGCTGATCCATGATTCTCTCTCCTCATGGATGTTTCTATCTCTCTCTCCCTCTCACTTCCTCTCTGATATCAATAAAAATAAAAAAAATAAAAAAATTAAAATTAAAAAATAAAAACATTTGCAAATTTTAATTATACTGCTGAATCAGATGTGAATACCAAAGATCAAGCATTGCAGTTTTTCTTTCCTCTCAATAAATATCAATATTAGTGATACTGGAGGGTAAAAGTATAAATAGTTTTTGGACAATATTTGCATCCTTGTTTGTGTTATGGAGAAAAAAATTTCCAAAAAGAGCTAGAGAGAAAGATGTTTGGCATGCCAAATTACCTTGCATGTTTGTTTTAAAAAACACACACAAGCACATGGTTTGAAGATAAACCAGATCTGAACATGTATTTGTTGATTTTTGCAAAATAAAATTAGGTTTCATTTTATAAATAAAATATCCACTTCAGATTTGCTTTTTCCTCCTATTGCACTAGATGCTTACATTCGTATTTCTCCCTTAAATTATCATTTCTTACTAATCCATTGTGGCAACTGATCTTAAAACTAACATTTACCAAGGGTCTTCTCCATGGTGGACATGTTTTACATGATGAGGTAGGTGTCACGGTCTTCCAGTTAAAGGTAAGGAACCTACTAGAACTTGGAAAAGATACATTTCTTGTTCAAGGTCCTTTAGCAAAGCCGGGAAGCAGATCCAGGTCAGGACCACACGAAAGCCCAAGGGAGGACAACGTGAGCAAATGAAAGCTGATGGAATGGGAGTCACCACGTGTTAGAAAGCAGAGCCCCGTCAAATGAAAGGAGACAGCTGAGGTCAGAGACACAACAAGCCCAGGACCCAGCTTCCGCCTTTGCTGCCTCCTCGCGTACTGTGCTCATCATTTCTATGCTGTCCAGGTCCATATGCCTCTTTTAAAAGTGCTTTCACTTTTAAATATTTAACAGAGGAGTCTCAGTTAAAGCATGAACTTGGATGCATTCCCAGTTCACAATGATTCAACACCTTTAGTACGTGGACCCCTGCTAAGTACTCTTGGAATGCAATCACAAAGGTACTGCACTGACCTTAAAATCCTCCTTCTAAAAAGAAGAATTAAAATAAATATGAACAGACACAGCAAGCTTGATAAAGGATATTGCAAACCACAGCCCCAGGATGTCACTTTAAAGGTAAGCATTTCCTCTAGGCAATCAACATAACAAACACAGGGTACAAAACATACAATCAAATATGATTGGGGGGGGGGGCAATCTGTGGAAGGGAAGAGGGCTCTGCCTGCCCTGCCTGCTCTGTCAGATGAGGCAGAAATGCTCTTGTCCTTGACCATAGTTAGCCTGGATTAGAAACATTTTTTACATGCTTTTCCCTGGCTTCTGTTATGTGTATGTTTCAATGGTTATACAACACTTAAAAAAAAAAAAAGGTCAAAGTTTCATAGTTGAAATAGGCTTGCATGTGTCATTCACTAAACTAGGAATCGCAAAATGTTTCTTCATTGGTACTGACCAAGTCTATAGTTGCTTTTATCTACTTGTGCAACAAAACAAAACACAAAATGTCAAGAAATAAGGCAGTTTAAACATCAAGATAACACTAGTCAGTCTTTAATTAAAAGTCATATATGAAAAAATATCATTAGTCCACATTTTCTCCTATTTTCTTCTTTCATCACTAACTTTTTCTTCCTCTCACAAGTACAGCATGTGCCCCTAGAAGGCAGGAAATCTGACCTTATCTCTGAATCCCCAGTGTCTACCCCAGGCCTGGTACGGAGCTTAGCAGATACATATCCCAGGGAACATAACAGTTCCACACGGAAACAAGGAAGCTCACTTTGCACTGGGCCAACCTCAGAATGGACAGTTTCTGGCTATTGACCCAAAGAATAACATTCATTTATTCATTTTGCATTCAACAAATGTATTGCAAGTCCACCATGTATTAATAGATAGAGGAATAGAGAGATGAAAATAAGTGATGAAGTACACTAGGAACTAGGTGGTAGATATTAAGGTATTAATTGTAAAGTTCTCTCAACTTTACTGCATGTTTGAATTTTTTATTTAAAAATGCTGAGGAGGAAGTCTACCACATGCTATTCATTGAGCTTACCACTAGGAAACAAAGATGAACAAGACAGAAACAGAAAAATCCCTGAATTCATGAATCATACAATTCTGTAGGCAAGATGACACAAGAAAAAATATGCAAACAAAATATTTATGAATTGTACGATCTTATGAAAAAAACAGCAGAGTGCTGGAGAAAAAGCAACAGAGGGCTGAGGATGTGGAGCACCTGGGGGCTGCATTTGAGTAAAATCCAAACTTCTCTCAAACTTTTAATCCATATGAAATTCAAAATTCAAATGGCTCCTTTTAATTATTGTATTTCTAACAGAGGAGGCGCTTAATCCAGATGTCTGATTGTGGCAGCGGGGGAGACTGCAAAATAGAGGAGAGCCCCTCACGTCCCACCCTCCCAGCCCCTGCCTGGCACAGCCACACAGGGCAGGTGAATTCCCTGTCTGGCACTGTGTGGATCACTGGGACCAGTGATTGAGGACAGCCCGTTGTCACTCAGCTCAGATTCCCACTCAGTAGTGAGATGGAAAAAAGGGAGGAGGAGGAAAAGGAGAGGGAGAGACCAGGGAGGAGAGGGGAGAGGGAAGAAAAGGAATCATTATCCTCTAGTTTCTACGTTCGTACTGGAAGGCCCTCGCTTCCAAGTAAATTGCAATACCTCTCTTCCATCCTAGTCCCTCCATGAACTTCCCTGATCTCGCATATTTTTTCCCTAACATGAACCATATCTAAATTATATCTTGTTCATATTAATTTTTTAGTTTCTTTTGTTAAATTAATTCACTTTTGCCCCAGGTAAGAAATCTGCATAACCAGGCAACTGATTTTCTCTCCATCTTCCAGTCGCTCTTGCCTTCCCTACAAGGCCTGGTTTACAAGGATCCCTCTGCCTCTCACCATCCCCAGCCCCTCTCCATCACTATTTCTCAATAACCTCGTTAGAAAATTGGGGACTGAAGTCTCTCAGCGATTCTTCCCATGAAAAGGGCAACAGTCCATGACATTCTAGTGACTCAGCATTTCAGCTTTCCGAAGCTTTCCCTGGTGATTGAGAGGACCCTGTCCCTGCCCTGACAGTCGGCAATTGTAACCCTATTCATCCCTGCTGTGGGAGAAAGGGAATGCAGTCCATAAATAAAAGCAAGCAAGCAAGCAAATACACAAAACTCCAAGCAGCAGCCAATCGGTTCTTTGCCTGAGAACTGGGAGAAAAAATCTAGTTCATTCGGTGGGTGGTGGGTTTAGGGGAGAGGCTTGCATTTCAGTAGCCATCCTACCCACCCTACTGGGAACCTTCCTCTGATTCTCCCACAGGCCCTCAGGCCTCTTAACCTCTTCCTGGCCCTCACCTGCCTTCTCCTACATGCAGCGCAAGTTTACTGTCCTTCTCTACAATCTCAATTTTCACTAGGAAAAGGGATTGCGTGTGAGGACGGGCAGCTCTGAACAGAATAAAAAACAACAACAGGGAAGTGGTTCGTGCTCTGGTCTAGGCAATAGGCAAAGTATCCAAGAAAATTAGCTACCTGTCAAATGTGACCCCATCTAGTAGCTTATCTCTTGCACCTCATCACGCAAAGGAGACACCATTCCCCAGCCCTGAGTTACATTTCCCTGAACCAGAGAACTCATCCCGCTCCACGGAAGGAGGCAGAACAAGCAGTCTGTTGCCCACATGCACACACGTTGTGCCACTCCCCGGTCAGTTCCTAGTTACGCAGGCGCTGCTTCGGGAGAGCATGGACCTGTGTGTTCCCAGGAGTTCTGGTAAAAGCTCACTAAATGCACAGAGAGATGAATACATTCATGAACTAACTATCCCAGTTTAGGCTGCATGGAGTCCTATTCCAGACATGATTTGTGTAGAGTGGCTCACCTATAAGGAGAGTTTTGAACGTCCGAAGGAGCAGTGAGGATGTTGTTGCTGGTCCTCCCTTGCGTTCTCCTGCCTGTTGCTTCTTCTTTCCTGCTGGGAATTTACGCTCCAGGCAATCCCCACGTGAGCACTGTTAAAAAGGCGGAGGATCAAAATAGGTGTCTTGCTAATTGATATTTGCTCCTCAAGTACCAAACCATTTGTTCTCGTCTGTGGCTCTACATTAGAATCA